GCGTCTCCCACGCCGCGTGGGAGACGGGCTCCAGGATGCCCTGAGCCACGAGGCGGTCCAGTTCCGCGTCTATCTTTGGCTTGACCGATAATGGAACCGTCCTGGCACGCATCCTTATGGGGGCCACCGAGGGGTCTAAGCACAATGACACCGGGGGGCCCGTATACTGGCCCAGGGAGTCGTCAAACACTGCAGGGAACTCTTGGCAAATCCCCGTGAAGTCTTGGGCTGCACACGCATGCACCCCTTCCACCGTGATTCCCAGGGGTTCGAACCAGGCCCGTCCCAGTAAGCTGACCAGGTCGCCCTCGACCACTATCAAGTCCAGGTTCCGTTTGAAATTTTTGTACTGGACTTTGAACGTTCCGACGCCCTTTATCAGCACCAGGTTCCGCTGGAAGTCCATAAGCGTCACCTGGGCTGGCCTCAATCGGGGTCCCCCCTTAGGGCACAAGCGTTTAAGCGTTGCCGCGGAGATAATGGAAGCGGCGGAGCCCGAATCGACCTCCATCTCACAGTGGGACCCCTCTATTTTTACAGTGGTCATGAACTTGGGGGCGGGGGATTTGCCGGGAAGTCTCAGTACCTTTTCCGCTGAGTGTGTGAGGAGGTAGATGTCCTCGGCACTGGCATCCTCCTCGAAGTGGGCCTCTGCTCTCTGGCGGTTTGGCTGGGGCCGTCCTGTTGGCTTAGCTTGGCAGGCCTTTGCAATGTGGCCCGTGCGGCCACAACTGTGGCAGACCGCGTTGCGGAACCGACAGGTCCTCCGGTTGTGCGGTTCCCCACAACTGGCGCATGTGGATGCGTTGGGATGCTGGCGGCCGGCGCTAGAGGTCGACGCTGGGGTGCGCTGGGGTGCTTGAGTGCGCTGCCGGGCCCCTCCGTAGGCCCGGTGGACGTCTTGCTTCTCGGAACCATCTGGATCGACCTGTAGGGCTGCAGTGGGGGCGGCATGAGACCTCTCCCACGCAACCACGGTGGCGAGGGCCTCCTTCAGGGTGACCTTCTCTTTCTCCATCAGCTTCCGTCGGAGCTTTTCCTCCCGCAAGCCCACGACAAAGTGGTCGCGGAGCGCGTCGTCCAGATGTGCCCCGAAGTTGCAGTCGGCGGCGAGTTGGTGCAACTCCGCGAGGAATTCTGTGGCGGTCTCTCTGGCTAGTTGGTTGCGGGTGTAGAACGTAACCCTGCAGGTCAGCTCGGTGGGCTTGGATGCAAAGTGGTTCTGCACCGCGTTGACGATCTGCTCGAAGGTGCAGTCACCGAGGTCTGTGGGGGAGAGTAGTCGTCCGGCCAGGGACACCACCGCGGTGCCGCAGGAGGCCAGGAGAAATCCCCTCTTCTTGCCTTCGTCGGTAACATCGAAGAACTCCAGCGCGGACTTGGCGCCTCTGACCCAGGCTGGCCAGTCCTGTGGGCGGGCTATGTCGAAGGGCGGAAGCAGCCCTAGCCCAGGAGCGGTTGCCATCGTGCGCGTCGGAGGGGTTACGGGAGAAGCGGTCTTGCTGGCAGGATTACTCATCGGATCGGCTGCTTCGCGTTCTCCTGGTCCCTCACGACGGCCCGGCTCAGATGCAGCTGAATCCCACCTTCGTCGCCACTATTGTGTAGTGGGTTGCCGCATGGATAAACGACAGACGACGACGTAGTGCATAGCACGCTTTATTAGGCACACAACAAGAACAGGGGACAAACGGCCTGGGGGCCAACTATATACATCCCTGGGGACACACCCCTGGTCACCATTGGTGGGTTTGAATCTCCCGCCACGGATCCCATTGGCTCCCCAGTGGAGGGACTAGGAGCCTAGTCCCTATTGTTGTTCCAGAGTCAAGCTCTGGCATCTCTGGCTGACCCCTGGCCCCCCGGTGGCGGTCAGCATACACAACACCCCCCCACCCCCCCTTTTCACGAGAAAGGTGTGCGGGATGCATCGGGAGACGTGGACTCTGCCTG